AGTCTTGAGGTTCTTCCTACTATTTTTTTGTCCATCATGTCCTAGTGAGAACACAAAACACCACGACTGTGGGTTATATAAACTGCCGGGGGGGGGGGGGGGGGGGGGGCTGCGCTCCAAGTGGTTACACATATTGGCCTGCAGACTCATCCTGTGGTGCAGCAGGGATTTTGTCTCGATCAATTCACCGCCTGGGTGTTCTTAATGGTGGGGTGGACCTGTTGTCCAGAGGGACTCCCTTGTACAGGGATTTGAGTCTACATCCAATGTTGGAGCAAATTTGGATCAAATTCTCCACCATTAAAGTTTACCCGACAACTATTGCTCCCATTACTTGGGCTTTAGGAAGAAATTGGCAAGTCAACACCCCCTGGTGTGTAACTTCATGAGGGGAGTGCGCAGGCTCCTCCCCGTGTCTCAGCCTCTGGTGCCTTCTTGGGATCTGTCCTTGGTGCTGAAGGCCCTCTCCGTGTCCCCATTTGAACCTATGAACGTTCAGGACCTTAATATTCTGTTTCTTAAGGTGGTGCTGTGGAGGGGTGTATCCCATAGTAAGACATCTTACTCTTGTTGCTCAGAGAACCGAGGTTAGGACAATAACTTAAAGATTCTCATGGTGAGTGCAACAAGTTGAAAAGATTCCTCAGTTCCAGTTTGGAAAATAAATTAGAATCAGAAGAGCTTTTTGAAATATGTGAGATATCACAACATTAGGAGATTTCTGAGGTACTTGGTGCTAAAGAATAAGAGACGAGCAAAAAACCTAAGAAATAAGCACAATGAAATAATAACATAGGGGAGCAAAAATCTGAGAAACCACTAATATATACAAGACAGTGTAGGTACTGATCAGAGCATAACAGTCAGGTGCAAAGACAAGACAGCGTCAGGTGACTGGAACAAAATCACTGGAATGGGCAATCCTACGATTGTTATTCAGAAGTCCAACTGCAGAGGGGAAGAAACTGTTCTTGTGACGAGAGGTTCTACTTCGAATGGATTGGAGCCTCCTGCCAGTCTGTGTCCAGGGTGACACGAGTCAGCTGTGATCCGACCTGCACACCTCAATGTCCTGGAGGTATACAGGTCTTGTATAGGGGGGAGTTTGCAGCGTCTCAGCAGAGCGCACATCACATTGCAGTTTCTTCCTTTCCCTGATGGCGGTGCCAGCATACCACACAATGATTGAAGAGGTGAGGATGGACATTGTCCATTTGTTCTGTGCGTTCCTTTTAATTCTTTTTCTAAACACAGCATAATGGATTTGTTTGCCGACAGCTGTGCTCTGAGAAAGGCTGCAATGTTAGTCTAAACTTGTCAGCCGAAAAAGGTAAAAAGAAATCTTCTACAGCGTTCTGTTTAGAAAAGAAAGTTAAAAAGGTGAGGACGGCCTTGGTGATTGTGGTGTAGAACTGCCTTATCGAATGTGTTGGTAGGTTGAATTTCTTCAGCTGCCTCAAGAAATACATGATCTGCTTGGGAGTGGGGCTATGCGCTTCCCTCTTCTGCACGTTTAGCACCAGGTTGTTGTGGCTGCGCCAGGACGCCAGCCGTTTGTGGGCAGACTCATTCCTGTACAAACTAAATGAACTTAAGTTGAACCTGTGAGCTGGAGGAGTGCACACTCAGGATATACAAAAAAAAACTGTACTTCAGATAACAATGTCACATATAATATGCAATTAAAAGCACTTGAATCCAGGGTATGATTGTTGTAGATGTGGACAATATTTACAATATTTAGCCATTTTTCCCCCTTGATGGATGTATTTTTGAAGGGTTTTCCTTTGCAGAAACATAAAAAAACATACATGTTGGTTTAGTTGTAGACACAACCATGTTTTTAGATTTTATGTTAAAGGGGGAGGCGGATGCTGCCATGCTGCTTATTTAAAGGGGGGGGGGATTTCTTCTGCTCCATTTGTTCATTCTCTGTAGAGCCCGTTTTATCTACTTTAGCCATTTGTTTTAGCTTTTAGGTGCTCTCACCCTGTGTCCAACGCTCGCACTGCAGACTCAGACACATCAACACACACAAACTCACTTAAAGTCCAAAACAACAAGGCAGAAACTAAACAGTGGTCCTTAATAATGCATTCGTGTCAGCTGAATCAAAGTTTTTGGACACTTCCTAACAGGATTAATAACGCCTATACCGAAAAGGCAGAAATATAACTTTGTGTTTTTATGAATTAGCTGCTGGTGAAACACTCAGTGTGAGGCTTTGTTGATGCTCCGAGGGCCACTTCAGGGCTGGATTCACATCACATTGACTCACATTTACCGTGGTCGCATATAACAAATATCTGCTGCTGTTAGACACTAATATGTGGTGTTCAGCCAGTGACCTTCACAACTACTTATCACTCTGTTTAGCTGGCAGCCATGGCGCTCCAGCAGTTTACTTCACCATTGGGCTGGACTGAGCTTGTATCTCTGAAATTATTTCCAAAGAAAAAGTCAAAATATCCATGTTTTGTTTTGATGCGTTTCAACAAAAACGGAGTGTGATTGCTGTATAGGTTTGTTGTCCTGACAGGTGCCACTTCGTCAAGCTTCAGTATGGAGCAGGAAATGATCGGTTTAGGCAGATCAAGAGTATGAGGGGAGTGGAAGAGAGTCACAAAGTGCTTTTATGCAAATGGCAGTCAGACAGTCTCCCTGTTGAAACTAAATGTAGTGGACTAAGTGTGTTCTTCTGTCTGTCTCCTGGACTACTTCAAAAATGTTCTGTGTTCAGCTCTTCTCTCCCAAAACAAACTAGGAGATGGAGCGATGGCCGGAATCCGGGAGGAAAATAATGGCTGTGTCCGAATTCAGGGGTTGCAAGCTCATGAGGTTCGATTTTAAGACCAGTGACATCACAGTGCCGCAACGAAGAGTGTCCAAATTCAAAGAGTGCTCAGAATGCAGTCTTGAAATCTGTTCTTCTTTTCCCCGATTTTGAGAACAGGTGCGGTGTAGTCTCCTCACCTCTAGTATAAATCCTGAGATGCACTGCGGGATATCACACAGATGGATATGAAATACAGTAGCGTTTTCATGTTTTTCATTATCCCAAATTACTCGTGTCATGAAGCTAGCTTAAGTTGGCATGAAATAGATGAGAACTTTTACACTTGAAAAAAGGCAAATAATACTATACTAGAGTCTCAGCTGGTGCGCGTCATTTGGAATCGTAGGATGTCCAAGGAAGATCCCACCTTTCTCATTTCTGATTGGCAGGAAGGGCTCTCCTACTATTGGCTGTTTCTTTCAACAGCAAACCGTATCCTCGCTGCTGGGTTTCAGTCTGCAGCCAGATCTGAAGGAATTTTTTATTTGATTTTTTTTTATATATAAAATGGGAACTTGTGAAAATGTGAACTTAGCCATTTTGTTTTGTTTTGCAACAAACCAGTTTCAGTTTCTTTCATAAAAGAACCTGAAAAACGTCAAACGTGTACTTGTGGTAAATCTTGTTTAATTTATCACACTCTATCACAGACTGACTTTATATCTGGTTGCTTTCAAGCATTGGGTTATCTTATTACTAGGTTAAGGCACATCTCTCACCATCTGTTGAAATGTGTTTCATTTAATCGAAATTCAGCTCTAAACTGATTATGGTTTAGACCTATTTTCACCGGTTTTCATTATTCTAGAAGAGAAAAAGACCTGCTGCACACAGCTGGGCAAACTAGGGCAGTTTTATCATATTTCATACCCAGGTAAAGTATATGTTTATCCAGTGTACTCTGCTTTAAGATAACCTCAGTGCTTGAGAGCCAGTGGACATTAAGTCCAACAGTGTGATACATGCAACAAGATTTATTTTAACTTTACATTTTATGTTTTTCAGGGTTTTTCTTTATAAAAGAAAAAAAGACAGAAGGGTTATTATAGAGCTAAGTTCTCATTTTCTGTACAAAACTCCCTAAAACAGCTTTCTGTTGGTGGCTGGACAGTCTAAAAGGTTTTCTACTAAATAAAACAGCCAATTGTAGGAGAACCCTTCTAGCCAATCGGAGGCGAGAAAGGCGGGGCCTTCCTTGGACATCCTACAACTCCAAATGTTGCTCCTGGTGATCGCTCTGCTGTAGCTCTTCAAACAGTAACAAAATAAGCAAACAATTTAAAGCATGTGCGAGCGCCATTTATGCAGCTCTTCTCAGTGTGGTAGCAGTTGCTAGGTGACAGGAGGACATTTGCCGAAGTCGGCTAGACTGTCCAAATCCACAGCTTTTAACATTCGGTCACAAAAAGAACACGTTCTCCTGAGACCAATGAGGATGGGTACTCATGAGCATGCAACCCCTGAATTTGGCCGCAGCCATTGCAATCTTTTTGTTTTTTAGAGTTAAGTCAGGTGTGCACGTGGTGGGGTTGAACGCCAAATATAAGAGCAAAGGAAAATGCAAAGATGGGTTTCATCCCAACAGTAAAGACAAACTCTGACAGCATTTTATTCTTTGGACAGTTTAGCTAAATGTATTTTCTTCTCAGCGTTGCGCTGTTTAGAACATTCTGGTGTGTGCTCTCCCAGAGGAACAGCATTAAGCTATTTTTCACCCTGTTTCCAATATCAACAGTGTTGGAGAAGTGATTTACGAAGTGAACTCCTCCTTTCCTTCCGGATTCAGTGATAAAGCAGCAGTTTTCATGCTCGGTATTTTTTCTTTGCCGTGCTCGCTTACTGCTTCTTTGTTCCTTCCCAACTATTGCCATTTTAACGTCCTCCAAATTACAGCGAGGATAGCTGGGAGGCTCTCGTCTCATTTTCTTCAGTTAACAAGCTCTCTGTTTATATAGGATTGGGGTTGTCTGCTCATTAATTCTGCCAGAATTTTATTTTTATTTTTTTACTACTAAATTACTTTGCTGGTTTAGTTGGAGGTACAAAATACTCTACATGTTTCAGGTTTTCTCAGTTGTTTTTCTTTCAGTTATTTAACTATTTGTTGCAGGCATCAAGTTTATTTATATTATTATTATTATTATTTTTTGCTTTTCCTCTGCAGCGCTGCAAGTCATGCAGGTGACAATTGAAATCACCAGACAGCAGGTGGAGAAGATCTTCGGCCTGGATGAGTACTGGTGCCAGTGTGTTGCCTGGAGCACCACTGGAACCCAAAAGAGCCAGAAAGCATACATCAGGATTGCTTGTGAGTGGAGCATCTTGGTTTTGTTACAAATGCAAATATTTCATGAACGACTGAACGGGCTGAACCAAAACTTCCAGTAAGCAATCTCTGAATAGACATTCATAGCTGAGAAGTGCCAGTGTGTAGTTTTTACCTTTAGTTTCTTGAAATGTCCATCGGAAAGTTGTTGAACTTTAATAAAATTATGTCCGGTCATTGATAAATATTGGTGGCTTTGTAACATGTAACCATAAAAATCGGGTCAAAATCACCTGGGTTCACAGGTCCAAGGCCTAGTCCACACGTAGCCGGGTTTTTTTTTTAAAAACGAATATCCGCCCCTCCAGAAACTGCATCCACACCACTTCGTTTAAAAAAAAAACTCTGTTGACACGTACCCGGATAAATACGTTGTTAAGGACATGCCAGACCTGTAGGTGGCAGTACTTCCCCCATTCTTAACCTCGTCCTTCGTCTGTGGTCTTCCGCAAGGAGCAGTAATTCCACTTGCAAAAACAAACAAGCAAAAAGCGCTTGGACAATTGATAAAGCGAGCGCAGCTCTGAGGGCATCCATGCTGTCGGCTAGTGTAAACACAGGTCGCACACGTGATGTCAGCATTTTTTGTCACGGAAAGTGACGTTGCGGACCTTAAAACTCCGGTTTTGTCTGTCCACACGCAGACACCCAAAACGTAGAAAACGCAGATCTTCACTTTGGCCGAAGTTTTTAAAAAGATCCGTTTTCGTGTGAAAAAACTCCGTTTTCGTGTGGATGACAGGCCAAAACGTAGAAAAATATCTACGTTTTGGCAGATCCCCGGCTACGTTTGGACAGGTCCAAGTCTCCGGGGGATGCCATTTTAGACGGCGTGTTTTACGTGAGCTTGCGCCTTCCAATGATGTCACACCACATTCGCAAAAGTTATGTTGGCATAGTCACAACACAGAAGATTTTGATTGGCCTAGACAAATACAATTGCAGTCCTCACGGTTGTAGTCCTGTATTCTATTTATTTTTTATTTTTTTATTATTGAGGGGGACAATATGTTTGTAATTCCAAAAGAAATGAAAAGTAAATCGACTTATATTATAATAACTTCAAACAGGAGAAACCGTCTCTGATAATACCGTTTTTACAAAGGAGAAAAGTGGAGCACTAAATTTAAGTATTCATGAGTGTGGGCCTACTTGATTAGCTGCACTATATCAGCAATGATCCCCGAGAAAGTTACCGGAATAAAAACTGAATGGAAATTTATTGCTGTGCAGCAATCATAAATCTGTCTGGGGAACACAGGCTCATCCCTCGCTGCAGCCTCAAAAGCTTTATTAGAAGAAGCCATTGGAGTATTTTAGAAGATTCTCTCTATTATTTCCACACATAAATATGTATTATCCCAGACACAGCCAAATGCAGCTCAGCCTCCAAACCACCAGGCTTTTTAAAAACACACAGTCATTATCCGCCCTTGTTGGAGAGCTTAACAAAGTTGGATAGATAAGGACTCACACATGCTCGAACAGCAACGCATAACGACATGTTTCCAATATTTTTGTGCACCCTCTTATATCCTTGTGCTTCAGAGCTTTCCAGAGCCGTTACATCTCAAGTGTCCTCCAGTCCCATCGCATCCGCTTTAATTAAATTAAATGTCGTGAAACTCTCGGCTTATCTTAACATTTCTCTCAGTGTGATTCATCAGGACAGGCCTAACATCTGTTTAAAGGACTTTGGCCCCTCACAACACGTCGCTGCTTTGCTCTGGATCAAAACACGGAGGGAACACATCAAATCGGCGCCGAGCCCCCAGCGATCGGCAGACTATTCCGATGCAAACAGACCTGCATTTATTTCACCACCTCGACACTTTTTTTTTTTTTTTAACTTGTGTGTAATTTTGCAGCCGTGCTTACCAGCAAATATATTGCAGGAGTTTGTGCAACGGTAAGAGTGCTCGATGAGCTGTAATGTCGAAGCCCCGTGCAGCCAGCTGGGCTTGCAGGAGCTCAAGTCCAGGCGCCTCGGGGCTTTGTTTTTGTGTGGCTGCTCCAAGCCGTCACGCAGATGGAGGCTGCAGGCTGCTGGGGGGGGGGAGTTAGTGGTGGTGGTGGTGGGGGGCAATGCTATTGCTTTTGCTTCATACAGATCCCTCTGGCAGCAGACAAACATCTCTGAAGCAGCCAGGCAGCTTGTAATAAGCAACACGGTTGGTGCCACTGATTCCACCGTGGCTCAGGGGCCAACGAGAGTGCAACGTGCTTGCTGGGCCCATGGCTGAACATACCAAGACTGGAATGTAGAAACCTCTCCAGACTCAAAATGCTTTATTTTTTTTTTTTTTATTGTTGTTGGAGGATTTCTTTCAAATGTCACAAGCTTTCAGAGACATCCTAATTGGTTCTCCTTTTTTTTTAATTTTTTGCAAGACCTGAGGAAGAACTTTGAGGAGGAGCCGCAGGGTAAAGAGGTGGCATTGGATCAGGAGGTGCTGCTGCGCTGCCACCCCCCTGAGGGAGTGCCACAAGCCGAGGTGAGACACAGAAATGCGAGATATTTATAGGCTCACACATAGCATCAATTCACCGGCTCCTCACCAGGAGGACAAAGAGCAAAAAAGAGTGACCGAGGCTCGGCTCAGCGGTACCACTCTGCGTTCCACGGGGAGCAGACAACCCAGCACTGATAAATTACATCTCTAATTATTCCCTTTTATTGATTTATTATCTCTTTTACATCTCTGGGAAGCCATATATCACATCATCTCGTCACATTACTCAGGATGAGCGTGGAGGCTTCACTGCCCCGTTTGGCATCTCTAAAGGCTCATCCATAATGAATGGGTCTATTTGCCTCACTCTGCCCTCTTCTCTCTCTGCGCGGCATCTCTCGTATCCCTCCGTTCTGCTCCGCTCTTCCTTCTCTCCCCTCATCTTTAGCTGCTGCGTGAGGGCCAGAGTGGTGCCAGCTGTTTCGCCTCACGTGCTGCATCCTCCCGGTCCCAGATAGGCACTAACTGCTCTAATAACAACACAACAGGAGCTCGGGCCCGAAGCACACACACTTGCCCAGAGACGAGAGATGAGCAGACAAGCCAATCACGGCCTGACAGTGTAGGGGATTGTGTGGAGGGAACGTAGCAGGACGGTGCCAGCTGCAGTTCAACAGCAGAGAACATCAGAGCAGAAGTCACCGTGGGAGAAAGCAGAAACGGGAAGAAAGCCCAATTATACGTGGTATCGCAACTGGCAGAAATACCAGCAACAATGCTGCCATACCACTGCTTCTCAAGAGACAGCACAAGGTCAAGTAAGGACAGCAAAAACAAACAGTCCAGTGCAAAAAACTGTAAAAAGGAATGATTTCTGCAAGAGAAGGGAGAAGCTGCAGCGCGTGACGGGGTTTGCTCGTAGACCACCAGCAGCGCCAAAATAAAAGCTGCAGCCTCTCTCAGTAAAACGTAATAAATATTCAAATAGAATACTTTACACGTTTTTTCTATTTCTGAACAATTGTCTTGTTTCTTCAACAAAGTTGCATTTTACTTCCCTGCTACAGATTACATTTTTTCTTGTCCCATCTGGCCGCTGCAGTGACTTTTTACCATTAAATGATATTTCCAGGTGGAGTGGCAGAGAAACGAGGACTTGATCGACCCAGTCAGCGATACCAATTATTTCATCTCAGCAGACCACAATCTCCTCATCAAAAAAGCTCGCCTCGCTGACACAGGAAACTACACGTGCGTGGCTAAAAACATCGTCGCTCGCCGCAAAAGCAACTCGGCCACTGTCCTGGTCTACGGTAGGTGGTGGAGGGGATTCCTTCTGGAATTTCACGTCAGACACAGACATGGTCAAATTTAGACTGACTTTAGGGGATTTCCTTTGAATGCGTGCTCTTTGTTAATTTCTACTGAATTCTGCTTACTCCCTTGCATGAAACACACCAGAGTAGAGTATTTCTCATTTTTATATTTGTTCAGGACTTTACAGTGAAGTTGTAATAAATATGAAATGCACAGCATATGGTGTGAAGTTTCACGCATCAGCAGTCTTATTCCTTTAAATATTCTTTTAAAGTAATGGATTGTGATAGCAGATCTGGACATTCATTAACACAAGTTAAAACACAACTGGCACGCTGTCTGAAAGATGCTGGCAATCCTGGGTGTCATGCCTGCCATCTTCCCCCTCTCTCTTCTGCTGTGGATCCAGGAGGATGGAAGAAACTGAATTAAAGGCAAACTGGAAATAATGACTTGGCTGGATAAGTGGAGTGACCTTTATTGAAATGCAGCATATTTGCTATCACAGAGGGCTCCAGAATCACTGGTACAGTAACGTGCGTGCATACAGACTGGGCTAATTCTGACCCGCATGCTCACGGCAGATGGTAGTCGAATGAGAATGATTCATAGAAGGATTTGGAAATCATGTGGGGCACCAAATGGCTTTTAGAAGCACTTTCTTGAGAAGTACAGAACGATGTGCTGTAAAAGCACAGCTTCTTTTGATATATTATTGTGAGTGGAAACTTAAACCCTTCTCATGGATCGGTGTGTTTTAAGACTGAAATTAATTCAAATAACTTCATACAGAGAGTCCTCAAAGCTAAAGTCTGTGACCTTGTTTTAACCCATGCTTCACAGAAAGTCATTTTGCCCCAGAAGAACCAAAAGTGTTAAAATGTGGAACTTTAAACAATTCACCAATAGTTGACTGATTAAAATGATCACAACAGGTGAAATGTATTTTCACAATAAGCACAACGGTTACGGTTAGAATGCTCAGGGGGCGGGGTTATTTGCACGGGAGAGTTACCAGACTCATTCTCTGTGCAGAATTAAACAGAGGACGAGTCTGGCAGGCCAGGCTCTAGTTTCGCTAAAGAAACACACAAACATTAATAACTGCGGGATCTGCCACACAAGCTCGTTTTGAGTGATTTCTGCCTAAATTGTCACCTAAAGAACAAATATACTAACAAAAAATACCTATGAACCGAACCGCTTTGAAGTGACAGTGTGCGTTTTTTCTGGCGATAGAGGGCAGTAGATATTTAAATTTTTGCAAGCAAGCTGTATTGTTGTGTTGGAGTAAGACCTTACCAACGGATCCCCGTTAGAGTCAAAAAGCCCTGGGGAGTGCAAACTTCAGCAAAATAACAAGCACGTCAGACTCCCTTTCATCACTGGCAACGAGTGAAGAGGTAAATGTGTAAAACAACAGTGGTGAAGGTTTTGTAAACGTTTGTTACAAATCAGTAAATGCAGTTTGTCCTCAAGGGCTCCCGTTGAAGGAAACATGGCGTCTAATGTGGCGTCACCCCGAAACCCGCTCCCATGTATTTTAGACCTGATTTTTGTGGTTATGTTAATGAGCCGCCAATATTTTTCAACAACTGGGCTTCATTTCATTCATTTTCAACAGTTAGATGGATATTTCCAGAGATTAATGATAAAAACTACACATTGTCTCTTTAAGCATTTTATTTTTCTGTGGCTTTTTATTTATTTATTTATTTTTTTTTAACAAACTTGCATTTAAAATTTTGCTGCTCTCCCATTTCTTCTTTCTGTTGAAAATCCAATGACCGGTATACAAAGCATGCTGGGATAGCCTTGGCTGGTCCATCCTTGAAATTCGGACGGATCGAGGACGCAAAGATGAGTGTCCGAATTCGGGCAGTACTCATCACTGCATTGTGTCGTCAACCTCAAATGCGTCCTCACAAGCGCCCTACCCCTGCATTCGGACACAGCCATTATTTCAGTTACTTTTTTCAGTTAAGTTAACCGGCTACAATTAAAACTTTCACGTTTGAGCACAAATAGTTGCATTAGCGTGCGTCACGCCGCAGAAATATAGAGGACAGTGGAACGTGAAAATTTGGGCAGCTTTGTTGATCTTAATTTTCCTGTATGAATTGTTGGTTGTTTCGAAATGAATTCTGTTAAATATATCATATAGGAGACACACACAGCGATATTTGAAAAGTGAAACAAAGTTAATAGGATTCACAGAAAGTGTGCAATACTTGTTTAAACCAAATTGGGCAGGTGTATAAAATTGGACACCACAAAAACAAAATTAACTCAATATCTAGTGGATCCCTCTTTTGCAAAAATAACAGCCTCTAAACGCTTCCGATGACTTCCAGCGAGAGTCTGGATTTATACGATTAATACAGGAAAATCACGAAGATGAACTTTGGCAGCCCACTGTACATTTCCATATTTTTGGTGGTTGCATATAAAGCACAAATATATATATATCCACACCTCCACCACAACTCTGAAGGTGCTGCTAGAGCGTTTTAAGTGAAAGTCCGCGCTCTGCAGACAGGATGAATCTACGTGTGTATGTGTGCACAGAAAAAAGGTGATTCATGACAATATGAAGGAAGCAGTGTTTTTACAGAGTAGAGCGTCATACGGGCTCTATAAAAACACACAGAACCTTGCAGAGCTTCCTCGTGTTGAGCTGCTGCTCCCAACATCAATGTGGGGAGATTCATAAATGCTGACGAGTTGTCATATTGTGTGGTAGAAGCCTAACCCGCGACATACAATCAGTCCACAAGATCAGGCAGGAATTAAACAAACAATATTTTATTAGGAAGAGGTTGAACTTAAGGCACAGCAGAAAGTCCTGCTGGGTTCTCCAAAGCGGGGGATATGGGCGGGGTGATCTAGAGACAAAGGTGTTAAATCTGGTCCTTTGAGATCCTGATGGATAATAAAGTTTAAGGACTTATGGTCAGGAAGAGGAGGAGGCTCGTGAGGGGAGGAGGTCCGGTCTGGGGTGCTTACGTGAGACGAGATCCACGGGGACCTGTACACAAGGGCTGAGGGAGCGGAGCATTGATGGTGCTGAAGATCCAAGGAGCTGAGGGAGAGTGGGGAGGCCAGGGTTGGACTGAGAGACGAAGTGGAGTCCAGGTTGGAGGCGTTCAGTTGTTGGTGTTGGTAGAACTCTAAAAAAGGAGAGAGAGAGTGGGAATAAACGAACGTTCTGAAGGCTGAGCTGAAAATCTATGTCTTAAACTAGTTATCTCGAAAACAGTGGCTGTGATTATCTGGTACACAGGTAGAGCTAATCACCCAGCAAATGAAGACGTCTCTCAGTCGCTTAAATATCCCTGGCAGGCTGATGAGCTGATGATCTGCAGCTTGTCCCACTCCCTGACACACCCACCTGCAGGAAGTAAAGCTCAGAGCAAATTAGGCCCTGTCCACATGTTGCCGGGGATCTGCCAAAACGTAGATATTTTTCTACGTTTTGGCCTGTCATCCACACGAAAACGGATCTTTATAAAAACTCCGGCCAAAGTGAAGATCTGCGTTTTCTCAGTTTTGGGTGTCTGCGTGTGGACAGACAAAACCGGAGTTTTAAGGTCCGCAACGTCACTTTCCGTGACAAAAAAATGCTGACACCACGTGTGCGACCTGTGTTTACACTAGCCGACAGCATGGATGCCCTCAGAGCTGTGCTCGCTTTATCAATTGTCCAAGCGCTTTTTGCTTGTTTGTTTTTGCAAGAGGAATTACTGCTCCTTGCGGAAGACCACAGACGAAGGACGAGGTTAAGAACGGGGGAAGTACTGCCGCCTACAGGTCTGGCATGTCCTTAACAACATATTTATCCGGGTACGTGTGGACAGGTTTTTTTAAACGAGGTGGTGTGGATGCAAGTTTTTGGAGGGGCGGATATTCGTTTTTAAAAAAACCCCGGCTACGTGTGGACTAGGCCTTAGTGAGGAGAAACCACGCCGGACCGTGACAAAACCTTTATTATAACTATTTTCTAATAAACTCAAGTACAGTTGCATGATTGTCTAAAGCTTGCTACAAATATTAGAACAGAATAATAAAGAAAACTCCTTTATGGTCCCTTATTGAGGAAATGCCAGTGTACCAGCAGCAAGTACACTCAGGAATAAGAGATTACTGCGCTGCAGATAAAACTGAAAATAATGGTTAAAAGGTTTAATATCCAGATAAACATAACATATCAAATACCTGATTATGGATTCACAAGGACGATATATCACGTACGGTGTTGTTCCTCTCGACTGCCAGGATTAAAGCCATAAAAAACAAACCGCTGCACTTCTCAAGTGATGCAGAAAGTAAATAAGCCGCTACGTCACACGTAAGCTACTATTTTATCATTTATAATTTTATTTTGAAAATTATCGAGGAATTTACACTGAAACTGTGTGTGATTTCCTTTCAAGTCCTAACTGTGAAAACTGACGTGTCCCAGAAGAGGCACGTGGCAAACATAGAATACGATCCTATCTTTAGCACGATGGTGGCACAGGAGAAGTGCTCACCCCGTAATCGGAAGGTTGCAGGTTCGAGCCCCGCTCAGTCTGTTGCTGTAGTTGTGTTCTTGGGCAAGACACTTAGCCCCGCTTGCCTGCTGGTGGTGGTCGGAGGGACCGGTGGCGCCAGTGCTCGACAGACTCGCCTCTGTCAGTGCGCCCCAGGGCAGCTGTGGCTACAGTGTGGTTAATACCTCCGATTTTAGACATTGCAATGAAATGACACCGAGAACTTTTACGTTTTGTTTTTAAAGATTGTAAACTATTATTATATTATTCCTCTAATTCTATATACATTTTCCTGTTATGAACTGATCAGTCTGCATAAAGTACTTCTCATATTTTATAAAGAAGGCATTGTTGACATTAACACTGTAGATATTTATGAAATGATCTATAGTTGACATTCAACAGATTATATCCATATAGAGCAAATTCAGATGTAATTTCTGAGCATTTGAAGAGAAAAGGTAAACTTTTCATATTTAATCCACGGTAACATTTGACATGTTGTGTTTCCACATCATCCTGTAATTCCCATTTATGAATGATATCAGAACTTGAATTTAGCTAATTTGTTTAGAAAAAATAATCTAGTTATAATGTTGGGTGTGATCAACACTGACAGACTGCTGTTTGGGCAATAAAAAATAAACTCTCCATGACTTTAATGTTAATTTAACAAACTGTGTATACTTTGAACTTGATTGAAATGCTTAAATATAGCTGAATGAATGTAAATGTCTTTTAAAATTAAAAGGATTATTAAAGATATGAGTCTTACAACTGGCCCGACGCCGTCCCTTTCTACGTGCTGCAGCCAGGCCCTTCTCCGTCTAGAGGCACAAGAGCACCTCAATCAAAATGTGTTGACTCAAGCACCAGGAGCACCAAGAAGTGAGCTCATCACATGATCAAATAAATGTATTTCATGTTTTACCATTAAGTGCGTCAATAACCAGTTGAAGAAATTTTGGAGAACGTGCATCCCTAACGCTATCTAATCCATTATTTTCATATTGTGAAATTATTGCTAATTTCACAATATGAAATTACGCCATACATCCATTACCAGCAATTAAAAAGGGACATTTCCATTAAAAAATAATGCAGGAGAGCTTTTCTGTAGAACTATGTATTTCCCCCCAAAATATTAACAAATTACTGGATTCACCAATTAAATGATTTATTGTAGCTTCACTTAAACTCAACAGTTTTAAATAGTTGTGCAGCTGATGGGGTTTTCCTGTCATGGCTTTACGGTTTATCGCAGTTAAACATGCGACTATTTTTAGTACGCTCTAACACACACACACACACACACACACACACACACACACAGTGTACTGTAATTTGTATTTGTCTACCTATCAACCCGTCTTCACTCGTCATGTAAAATATACTGTTGCCGAACCATAACTGCAACTGTTGCTGAGAGCAGACTCCTTTGTTGTGATACGTGGACTGCAGTACCCACATTTGACCACAGGATGACAGTCTTGCTTCATGCACCTTTAAAGAGCAGGTTCACCGAGTGAGGAGCCATTTTGACTTCTACATCTTCAAACAAGCACACCACAGCTTTTTTCCTCAGAGAACAACTTACAAGTAATTCTAGAGATCACTGCAAATGTATTAAACATTTGAGTAAAGTTGACCTTTAAATGTTGACTAAGTGGTCAATTATCATGCGCTCCACTCAGCCTCATGGCATTATAGTAAAATTATAGCAGTTATGATTTGTTTTGTTTAGATCAGTTTATTAAGACAGTGGAGCCAAACATGTTCACCTTCCTGTCATTTGCTGTTATTGTGTCACCGTCTTGTATATATATATATATATATATATATATATATATATATATATTAGAATAAATGAATGATGACACTACTACCCTATTTTTTGCTTTTTCTGCAGGCCTACTTAACAAAATGACAGTCAGTTTAAATCCCAGTGGAGATAAATAGTTTTAAAGCAGATCTGTTACTGATATACATATTGTCTCATATTATACCAGGAAATATAATTTCACTCTCAGCACTACTGTCTGCAGTGTTAGTTAATCTCCCTAGTGTTAGCCAGTCCTAATAACAGCCCCTTTTCTAAGGCAGTTCAACGGAGGGCCAGAGTTGCGTTTTAACGAGGCCGAGCTGATGTGACTGCACTCTGTGCTAAGAGGTAATCAGAGGCCGAGTTGCCTGGCAATTTACCTCGCTGTGCAGAGCAATCAATTGCATGGGGGGAGGAAATGATTCAGCCACGACAAGCGCAGTGAGTTAGGGGGGGAAATAGGGAACAGAGTATGTACAGAGAGAGTGAGCGACAGTGCTGTTCAGGTCAATAAATCAGGAACGTCTTCTTCATAAGCTGAGAAAACCACGGAGAAAGGCTGGATCTGATGTAATCACCTGCTATGATGGAGAGACACTAGAGCTCCAATTATGAACACTGGTTCAGCAAGTAGTTCCGATAACAGAAAAGCAGGGTTTAAAGTTTAGGAGCAGTCTGAAATTTGGCTACAGGGAAAACAACACAGCGGTGAACGTGTGAAGGCCCTTGGGTTACGTTACAGCCTAATTATTTTTCAGCTATCTGGTGACTTTTCCAAGGAGAAGGCTTGCTTTTGTACATAACAGTAGCAGCAGTAGCTCAGGTGGTAGAGCGGGTTGCCTCATGATCGGAGGGTCATGGGTTTGATTCCAGCTCCCACCAGGGGTATCCTGCTGTTGTGTCCTTGGGCAAGACACTTCACCCAACTTGCCTGTGTTAGTGGTGGTCAGAGGGGCCGACGGCGCCAAATGGCAGCCTCGCCTCTGTCAGACCTCCCCAGGGCGCCTGTGGCTACAAGTAGCTTACCATCACTAGCAGTGTGTGAATGTGAGAGTGTGTGAAAGCGTCTTTGGGTGACTTGAAAAGCGCTATATAAGTTCAATGCATTATTATCATTATAACCATGAGTACTGGTTTAACAGGACATGGATTCTCGGTGACCGTTTTAATGTGTTCAGTTAAATCTTGCAGCAGCGTTGGATGAGATGTTTGAGATGTGCACATGAAGCGCCATCAGATAAAGTGTAAGATGGTGATTTGTCAGATTATGTCCGCTCCCTGTTGAAGTCAGCTTGTTGGTTCACTGCATTTGGCTGTAATTCCAGCTCGCGCACAGGAAGTACCCCCCACACACCCCTTGTCTCTGCTCCTTCTCTTCCATGTGTTCACCTGGCGGAGTGGAGCCAGTGTTTGAAAGCAGACACGACTTTTCTTGCGCAGCACACTTTTTTTTTTCCTTCCTTTTTTCATTTCTTCTGCATGTCGGGTAATCCTGGCTGCTCTGTTCCTTCATCCATCCCACCCCCAATCACCCCCCGTCTACCTCACCTCTTCACCTGATGCCGGTCTGGCAGTCAACGGCGGCTGGTCCACATGGACCACCTGGTCATCCTGCAGTGCTGTGTGTGGGCGTGGCTGGCAGAAGAGGAGCCGGAGCTGCACCAACCCCACGCCGCTGAACGGAGGCACATCCTGCGAGGGGCAGAACGTCCAGAAAAGTGCCTGTGTGGCCACCTGTCCAGGTAACTCCCAGGCAACCTTGTGTGTGTGTCCTGTGGCGCTTGGCTTCCCGCGGCTTCTGTTTTTATGCTCTTTTTTTTTTTTCATCTAAAAGTCTGTTTTTTTTAACCGCTCTTTGGTACATCACTTTCATTTTTGGGGGGTTTCCAGGCTTTTTGTTGCTTCCAGCAATTGGACTGCCTGTACAGCAATGCCATTTCCTAATAAGGCCTCATAAAGTGATTTATCATCACACTTTAATCCTTTTACCATCAGCATCGTGAACAGACAACTTTTATTTCTGAGACATTTCTGCTTGAACTCCAAACGCATGGTTCCCGCCACGGTTTTGTGTCGCACTCCATTTATTTGCTGCTTAGTAAATATGAGCAAAAACAGCTGAAATGTGGTCTCATCGCGTGAGAGGAGCTGAGGGCGTTTCATTTGCTTCCTTGATCTCCTTGGTGAGAGCAGCAGAGAGAGTGTCTTGCCTGATAGTGAGCAACGCTTATTGATCTCTGGGAGGCTGAGATGGAAGTCAAGCTGCCTCGTTTGCAGCCTCACATTAGCCCCCTGACAGGCCCAGACGACAAGGGAGGAGAGCAGGGCAGGAGCAGGGCGGTGTAAGGTGGAGGAGGGGACTGAAACAGGTGGAATCAGATCTAATGTAAGACAGAAAGAAGCCAAAAAAAGAGAGAAGGGAGCATAAAACGGAGAGAAGTTGAGTGTCTGGCTACCAGCAGATCGGTGTGAGGACAGACAGCTGGGACGATGCAGCTGCTGCTGACCGCAGGAGACTTCTCCCACTCTCTGTAAATATCAGAGAAGGAAACACAACACCTCGGGCAGTGGCGGCGTCTTGCAGCCCAAAAAAATGCAGGTTTTCTTCCTCTGTGGGTCGGGGTGTTCCGTTACATGTAGAGACAGCAGCAGACGTCACGAGTGTAAGTAACATGGCTCGCTGGAGTACAGCCGCTGCAGGAAGATGAGATGAAACGCACAACGTCAGGATCTGAACGGAGCAGGAGGAAGCAGTAATGGAATTAACCCTTTGATGCATGAATTATGAAATCTTCAACCATGATTTTTTCAACTTTTTTTTTCATTCATCTTTAGGTGTGAATGAAACAAATTTCAACTAATATTTTTTGTAAAATTTTATAATTTACAAATAATTTATTACATGTCCACTTCAGTGGGCAGCGTGCATTCTGAGCATGAAATATGTCGGCTTGACTTACTGAAGTCCAAATGGAGGGGCTCAAATGCAATAAAGTCTTAACAGCTGTGCTTAATAGCAAAAACAAATAAATAACAATTTTGAGTATCTGTCCACTGTAGTGACCATTATGCATCAAAGGGTTAAAGCAGGACCCAGGCAAGCTTGACATTCCTCCACAGCGGAGCAGGATGCTGACCTCCACCAGCTTAAAGAGATTAATGTCAGTTTGAGCTGCTATTGTTAGACTCCCCCTCCCTCCTCACATCTGTGTGCTGCTCCAGAAGAAGAAAGTGTGCAATTCGGCACCTCCAAAAAAAAAGCTTTATGGCCTGTGAACACATTTCACAAAGAGTTTGGGAAAGAAAGAACTCAATTTTTTACTGTTGATGAGAGACGCTAGAGCAACGCGACCCCACTTACACCCGTCAGTCCGGCTGTTTGGTACGGAGCCCATCTGAGGCCAGAACTCTGAGAAGTCCCAGCTGTCTGCGTCTGCACTGCAACAACAACACACACACACACACACACACACACACACACACACACACACACACACACACACACACACACACACACACACACACACACACACACACACACACACACACACACACACACACACACTCAAAATAGAGCCCAGCACCCATAGGAACCCTCTTTTGATTCATCAGATGAATCATGAAGAGTGTGAATGAATGACTGACTGACTGAATGAATGAATGAATGAATAGGCGATGTCGTACTGAGTGACTCAGGCCAGGCCAGCAGGGAGGGAGCATCACAGCTCACTACAGTTAATTATCACGGTGCGTATAGCCTTCGCGGGTCTGCTCAGCGGCGTCGGTCCTCCTCAGAAGGAGGAGGGAGGAGTGCAGGGAGCTGTAAAGCAGCACACAGACATGATTTTATTTATTCAGACGCGGCTGACATTTGGACTCAGAAGTAGTTGCTCTTTATTTTTTCATGTGAGCCTTGAGAGGCATTTTCCACCACGCTGCCTTTGTTTGCGAGCCGTGTTGTGAAAGTTACATGATTTAATGCTGGTCTTGTTTCAAGACTTCATTAATTATCTAAACTCAGAGTTCTGTGTTGATTATTAGCTCCCTGGCGTGTTTAACTTTTCCAGCATTAGTGCTTTCAAATGAATAACACAGAAGTTGATTTTGTGTGTTTTTAGCTGCCCGTACTGATTAATTTGTTGTTGCCGTCTGAATTTTGTTGTAATTATTCTTTAGGGATTGAGGAAGCTTTAGTTTATAAAATTCGTTTTCTGGGCAAGTTTTTTAATTTGGTTGAAATGCAGATGGTCGTTTTAAAAAAGCGCCACGTTTCTTCCGGAGCAGACGCACATTTATACGTCTTCACAGGCTAGCGCCATCAGCAAAAGCCCTCCACGTCTGCTCACAATGACTCTTGTGTCTAAATGTGTGCTCCCACCTCTCGTCTGAGGGAAAGTGCGAAAGCCGGAGAGGCTCATCTGTATTTTCCTCCAAGTCTCCTCAGTGTTTAATGAGAGTTGGCGGGGGCTTGTGTGATGGATCAGATGGGCTCCATGCTGGGAGACGCGGGGCGCTGTGGAGGAGGCTGAGGCTAAAGCTCCTGGCTGAGAGCAGAGCAGATCAACACAGAGTGGCCAAACTGTGAGGCCTTATCTCATTTTTCTCCTTCCCCTCCGCCTTTCTGCATTTTCCTTTTGTCTCATCCCAGCCTTTCCCACTCCACCCCATCCCTCGCCCGCTTATTGCTCTTGTGGCCAGAGCCAACGGTCGCGGCAATGCGTCAGATCAGCGTTTCCAACAAAGACTTGCGTGATCATAGTTAGTCACCAGGTTTGGCGGTGACGCCAGCTCCACACAAACACCCGAGCTGAAACAGCAAACAACCCGAGGAAATTTCCAACTTGTGTGCATAATTAAATATAGTAACGATCCCCGTGGCTTGCCAGAGGAGTCGTGAGAATTCATCTAGATTGAAAGCAAATAGACTCGGGGTTAGTGTCTTTGTGTGTGCACTTGTGCTTGTGTGAACCATATGACTTGTTTCTGCACTTGGATGCAAACGTCTCATTCCGCTGTGGAAGTACGTAGCCATACGTCAGTGGATGTCATCATAGATTGTTCAGCACGCTGCACACTTCACCCTCAGAGTAAATGAAGGCTGCGGGGAACGAATGTGGCAGCGCAGCACATGAGTTCATTAGGAAAAGATGGTGGCCATCTGGTGTCATCCTTGCATCATTTTTAATCATTTGATGCCATTTGTTTCTGCCCCCTTCCCCAGCTCACAGTCTCATTTTGGTTTCCGAGTCACGCCAAAGTAAACTCTGATCTGTTGCAGCATGAGAAATCAGATCATTTTGTTATCATTTTATTTTTGATAACTTGTATTAACCCTTTGATGCATGAATTATGAAATCTTCAACCATGATTTTTTCAACTTTTTTTTTCATTCATCTTTAGGTGTGAATGAAACAAATTTCAACTAATATTTTTTGTAAAATTTTATAATTTACAAATAATTTATTACATGTCCACTTCAGTGGGCAGCGTGCATTCTGAGCATGAAATATGTCGGCTTGACTTACTGAAGTCCAAATGGAGGAGCTCAAATGCAATAAAGTCTTAACAGCTGTGCTTAATAGCAAAAACAAATAAATAACAATTTTGAGTACCTGTCCACTGCAGTGACCATTATGCATCAAAGGGTTAATGTTCCTCAGAACTGCAGAATATTTTCTGGTTGTACGCTGATGCAGCCAGATGTGCAGAAGAAAAGCCTCAAGACTTTTTTTTTTATCCCATCAGCCTTTGATCAGTTGGATTAGGGGGCGGGCGCTGCTGTGTTGACAGGACAGTAGGAGCGGAGGGGCAGCCTGCTGGTCTCTGTGGCAGTCGTCCACCCCCTGTGTTGTGTTCAAGGACACAGAAACCTCGAGTGTTCAGTGATCTCAGACTGTGGCCGTCAGCAGCCATTGTCATTTTGAACAGCAGAGTCTCTTAACAGGCCCTCCCACTGGCCTGCAGAGAATAGTCGGATTCCTTTTTTTGCTTCTACACTTGGAAACACATCCAAACGGGGGACTTGCCACTGGGTTATTGTATTAGCGTCCCTCCTCAGAGACCTGCGTGACCTGAAACCTGTGGCGCCGCATGATTGAAAATCAGCTAAGGTGCCTTTTGGCTGTAGCACTAACAATTGCTTTCTGGAGATTTGATTAAAAGAAAAAAGATGGATTATTTTCCTTTAAATGGACTCAGAAAAAGAAAAATTAAGAGTTTTACTTAGAATTTCTGGGTAAAATGCTGTATTGTTTTTGGTTTTAAATTTATTTGTTGATGCTTTCTGTACATTTCTTTGATTTGTGCTCATCTAGAAGATACCATCGTGTGAGACAACAGCCTGTTCATGCATATTCATCGCTCTTTCAACCCCTCACCTCCCCAAACCCTTACACTTTACTCCTTATCTCACGTCTACGTCTTTAAGCAGCACTTTGGTTTCAGAAAGCCATTTGCTTGCCATTAGTCCTGGTTTGTGGCAAAGAGCGGAACTAGAGTTTTATCATCATCTCATCAAAGCCGATGTTGATCACATGGCTTTGTATTTCACCATGGTGTGATTAACTGCGGGGCAACATAATATATTCATTAGGATGTCATTTGCTATTCAATCATTTTCATTCCCAGCTTGGACAATCAGCCCACTGGCCCACGGACGGGTCCACTCAATGCCAAACAAGGACAATTATCTGATTGGTTCTGCTCTCTCTGCCAAATGAATCTGACTGCAAAAAAGCTCCAAGCTGCGTCAGCATCCAACCACAATCTCGCACGCAGGAACACAATTCATCTCAAATTCTGCAGCAAACATTTAACAACACTCACAGACAAACATTCGGATTTGCGTGTGAGCAGAGTTGAATTCACACATTTGGTGTAATTTGCCCATCAGCTCGGTTTTACAAATTGAGATCAATTTGAAAATCTTAACTGAACCAATTTTTAGTCCAATTAGGAGATAATATGCTGCCTCTCTGATGTTTTATTAACCAAAGCCTTTGAGGAACTGCCGGTCTGATCTGCAGTCGGTGGGTTATTTCCTCTGGACTCTATTGCCAAGGTTAATGAACACAGAGGTTTTCCTGTGCCACGGTCAGTAAGGGAAAGGGCTGCTGTCGTGGAAGGGTGTGTGCGTGCAAATGAACGTCATCAGGTCCCCTTCACCCGTACATTTGGAAGAGGGAGCGAGACGGAGGTGTTTATCCCCTCTTGAGAGCTCATTACTGCTCTTTCCCCCGTTAGCCGAATGGTAACTTTCTCCGGGCCCGGCGCTGTCTCTCTAGTCCACCAGTTCACAGTGCCAACATTACCCCCACCTTTGTGAAAAGACCTCTTTCTCCATGAGTAGAAAAGCCACTGGTACTCAGAACTATTACCGGCCCATTTTCCATTTAGCTCATTTTGCTCATGCTGATGACGGCTGACCCACAGGTGCAATGCTCATTCTTCTCAGCTTAGAGTAGGACCCTATTTTTTCCCATTCAGCAAGTTAATCGATCCAAAAGCAGGTCTGAATAATCTCTCTCTTTCAACAAACTTGGTGTACGCATGATGTACTGTCAAACAGAGAATACCTTTTGGGGATGGATCGGGTTTCCTGACTGCCATCCCTCTTGCAGCACCTTCACACCCGTGTGGTTTCACTTATTTGCATCTAGTTTCCACAATGAAAATGAACACAGAATGCAGAATGGAGACAACTGGGCTCTCTCCAGCTGCATTTGCATGCTTTGGTTTCCCCGTGCAGCTGTTGGAGAATCTAGTGGGTTTGCATATCTTTATAAGGTATCAACACCAGGTTTACACTTACTAACAAGTGGTTCGGACGATGACGGCACACGCAAATACATACCGCTTCTGCTCCACTGCTGCGTCTGAGTATTACTGTGTGATTTAGAATAAAACTGCTGCATTATTTCTCCATAAACACAACATTCAGGATGCTTTCTAATGCTTTTTTGAGAGTGCTCAGCTTTGTTGTCTGTGTGTGTTTCTAGTGGATGGAGGCTGGAGCGAGTGGAGCAAGTGGTCAGCATGCGGTGCAGATTGTTCAATGTGGAGGAGCAGGGAGTGCACCCAGCCCTCACCTGGCACCGGGGGCAAGGACTGCCAGGGACTCGACCTCCAGTCTATAAACTGCACCAGTGAGCAGTGCCCACAGAGTGAGTTCAAAAACGTCCCACAATCTGCAGACTGCACACACCGTTTGATTCTCAAACTGTTGAAGAGACGGAGGTGGTAAATAAAAGGGTTTTTAATAAAACAAATTGGAAAAAAGCAACAAGTAGATCACAAACATCACTAAGTAAAACAGGTGTACAGAGTTTTCAACAATTAGCCTCAGAATGGAGGCTGTTAGAAACATCTTCACTGCTTTCATCTACTTTTAAATACTTCCCGCTTTAGAAAGGACTGACGTTCTTCAGGTCAGAGCAAACGCTCCACTCCCCTCTCCTAGTGATAAACGTTTACCTTTAGAAAAAGACAGAAAAAGGTTTTTCCTCCCATCAGGGACTTGTTCACACAAAAGGGTCATCTGTTGTCGACTGCCAGCTCGTCCCCACCTAGGTGACCTTTTCAGGTGATCGTTTCTAATTAACACCAGTGCAATACTTGCTGCTGAGATAATACACAGTGCTGCCTCGTGGGTCGGTGCTGTGTTGCTCTCTGACCTATTAATAGAAGTGAGAAGTGAAGCATCTCTCAGCTGACTAAAACAAAACCTGCCAAAGAAATGGCAAGTGGTCAAATTGGCCATGAACACACGCGTGGCGGGGGTGTTTGTTAGCACTCTCTGATTGTTCTCTGGGTAAAAATGTAATTATGTCAAACTCATATACAGACATGGGTTTCTGGTGAGACAGTCAGCATGCGTTTTACTTTATATGTTGTGCCGTGTGTGTGTGTGTGTGTGTGTGTGTGTGTGTGTGTGTGTGTGTGTGTGTGTGTGTGTGTGTGTGTGTGTGTTTATTCTGGGGGATTAGGAGTCTTGTCGGATCTGAGTGGAAAGAGGCTCAACAGGGTTTGATCCTGAGCAGATGGACATGAGGAGAGAGCTCCATTGTCATCTATAAATATTCACAGACAGAAGCATATTGGAGCCTCCCATCCAGAAACGAAGAAGGCAGCATCTTGAATAGAATTGTAATATTTATTGATATTTATCAGATGTAAGTCAGGCTGCCCCTCCATATCTAGGTTTGAAGAAAGACACAAATCTTAACTGTCACAACGTTTGCTACAACTACATCAACAACAGCTAATTTGGAATACAAATGAGCAAGAGAACGTTCAATAGTACAGGACCGTCTCCCAAAGCTGATCAAGCTGTGGCATCTGGGAATGTTCAGAACTTAGTCCGGAATGACAGAAGGCAGGTGTGAGGGCCTCTGTAGCACAGTGAGGAGTAGACACGAACTGTGGCTTGATGTTAAGATCAAATCAAATCACCTTTATTGTCACGTCACATGTGCAGGTACACTAGTACAGTACGTGCGGGTGAAATTATTGTGTGCGAGCTTCACAGCAACAGAATCGTGCACAACAACAACAACAACAAAACTACAAGATATATAATATACAGAAGTTGGTATGTACAAACAGTGGCATTAATGTACAGTATGGAGTGTGTAATGTTGAAGTTCCAGTAGTGAGGGTGAGGTGTCTATGTAGTGTTCAGCAGTCTGATGGCCTGATGAAAAAAGCTGTCTCTCAGTCTGCTGGTTCTGGACCGGATGCTGCAGAACCTCCTTTCTGATGGAAGTAGTCTGAACAGTTAATGGCTGGGGTGACTTGAGTCCTTGATGATCCTCCCTGCTTTCCTCAGGCACCGCTTCCTGTAGATGTCTTGGAGAGAGGGAAGCTCACCTCCCATTATCCTTTCAGCACACCGCATTACTCTCTGGAGAGCTTTGCGGTTGTAAGCGGTGCTGTTGCCATACCAGGTGGTGATGCGTCTGGTGAGGATACTCTCAATGGCACAGCAATAGAAGGTCCTGAGGATGCGGTGACTCATGCCGAACCTTTTCAATCTCCTGAGAAAGAAGAGGCGCTGCTGTGCCTTCTTCACTGTATTGTTTGTGTGCACTGACCACGTGAGATCCTCGGCCAGATGAACACCAAGGAAACGGAAGCTGCTCACTATCTCCACCGCGTCGCCTTTGATGGTGATGGGGGTGTGTACTCCTCTGCACCTCCGAAAGTCCACTATTAACTCCTTTGTCTTCACAACATTGATGACGAGATGGTTATCTTGGCACCAGTGGGTCAGGGCACTGATCTCCTCCCTGTAGGCCGTCTCATCGTCGTTGGTGATGAGACCCACTACCGTGGTGTCGTCCGCAAACTTCACAATGGTGTTGGAGTTTCTCGTGGCCGTGCAGTCGTAGGTGTAGGGTGAGTACAGGAGTGGGCTCAATGCACACCCCTGTGGAGCACCAGTGTTCAGTGTGACAACAGATGAGGTAGTGCTGCCCAGTCTGACCACCTGGCGTCTGTCAGACAGAAAGTTAAGGATCCAGCTGCAGAGGGAGCTGCTCAGTCCTAGATGCTGCAGTTTCCTGTCTAGCTTCGAGGGAACGATGGTGTTGAATGCTGAGCTGTAATCTACAAGGAAGGGCAGCAAATAAGCAATTGTTGTCATCATCATTCATCATCATCATGTATTTATTTCCAACACGCCAATAACATCACAATTAACAGAATATGAATCAATAATAAACCTCACAAGATACATCAATAATAAATCAAGTTGACATTGTTGTAGGCAGTCCTTGTCCTTCAAGGATTGTCTGGTATTTTGGTAAAGGTCTAGGGATTGGACTGCTGGCAACAAAAAGAAAGCAATTTACTTTGGTAAATTACTTTTTCTTATTGTTTGGGGCATCCCAGAAAAGGGTTGTCTAAAGACGAAAGGGTGAGCACTCCCATCACCCTTTTGAGATTCTTCATTTGTGGAGCTGCTTCTCAACTAAGGGAGTGGTCTCACAGTTTATCTACACCCACAAATAATTTATGGTGCCTAAACATCCTCTGAAGCCTGATTTATACTTCTCCGTCTGGGTTGGTATGGATACATTCAACACCATTATGCGTCAGTGCAAGGGCTCTCCGACGGGCTCGCAGGAGGTGACGGAGAGATGTCCAAACTTTGGAAATTCATCTGCCACGTTAACAAGTAAAAAGATATTTAGTGGCAGTCTCAGAACAGATTAAAGAACGCATTGTGGAAAAAGTCAGAAAACATGAACGTTTATTCATCTGTGACTGAAGGAGTACAACATACAGAGAAAATGTGAATGGAAATGAGGGGGAACGTTGGTTTAGAGGTGGTGACCTCATGAAGAGGTGGAGGAGATTTCAGCAGCACACTGTCCTCACTGTAAACACTTTTGGTAGCATGCAGCCTACCTCTCCTGAGTCTCCGGAGGGTGGACGAGAATCTCCTTGAAGCCGTACGGAAGTCTTGCTCAATGGTCTGACTGAACTCCTCCCATGCACGGGTTTTTGCCTCTGTGACCACCCGGGCCGCATTCCGCTTGGCCTGCCCGTGCCCATCAGCTGCCTTTGGAGTCCCACCGGCCAAAAAGACCCGATAAGACTCTTTCTTCAGCTCAACGACATCCCTGACCATAGGTGTCCACTATCGGGTTTGAGGTTTTCCACCATGACAGGCACAAGCGACCCTGCAGCCGCAGCTCCGGTCGACCGCCTCGACAATGGAGACATGGCCCACTGTCTCCCCACCATGTCCACTTTCTCCCCCCGGAACATTTTGGAAGGTCTGTCGGATGTGAGAATTGAAATTTCTTCTGACAAGACTCAGCCAGACGTTTCCAGCAGACCCTCACAATACGTGATGAGACAACAACAAAGTCAGTCATCGAGCTGTGGGCTAAGGTATCCTGGTGTTTGGTGTAAACCCCATCATACATGGACCAGGATGGGGGCAACTAGTATGCCAACCCCCACCTCTGCGTCTCTCAGAGCAACTCCAGAGTGGTAGAGTGTCCAGCTCCTCTCAAGGACACTGCTTCCAGAGCCAGAGCCATGTGTCGAGGTGAGATAGACTATATGACTATATGATCATCCACTGGACTCACTCTGCCAGTGCCTAGAGCAAGTAAACAACTAGATGCAGTCAAACTTCCTTCAGTTAAACAAAGACAAGTTATTGTCTTTGGCAATAAGAAGGTTAGGGTGGATGTTATTGCTCAGCTGAACGCCAAGGGAATAAAGACAAAAATTAGAAATCTTAGTGTTATAATTAACTCCGACCTGAGCTTCTCTGGGCCTATTAAGGCTATAACTAAATCAGCATTTTATCACCTTCATCAAACATCAAGAGCCAGAGGTCTCATGTCCAGACCAGACTTAGAGAAACTCATTCATGCTTTTATTTCTAGTCGGCTGGACTACTGCAGTGGTCTCCTAACTGGTCTTCCCGAAAAAGCTGTGAATCAGCTGCAGCTTGCTCAGAACGCTGCTGCTAGATTCTTAACAAGAACTAAGAGAACGAAGCACATCACTCCTATTCTTACGTATATCCCTACACCGGTTACCAGTAAACCACAGAATACATTTCAAAGTGCTCTTACAAGTTTATAAATCACTCACTGGCATGGGGCCAAAATACATGTCAGATCTCATTCCTGTAAATACACCCAATAGGGCTCGGTTTTGTGCTGCTGGACACGGAGAGCATCTGGACCATGCAGTTGTGTCGGGGAGCTGTCAAGACTGGCGGTTTTAACTGGTTTTAATCCTTTTTAAAAATACTGGTTTTAACTGTTTTTTACTGGTTTTAACCATGTTTAGCACTGTGAACTTCTTTAAATTACTTTTTTGGAGCTCGACTGCTGTCTGTTTTTACCTGCTGTCTACTTCCACCTGCGTCATGCCTCTCACCTGCAGCCATTGGTGTGTCGGTTGTGTGAGGCCGAGCCAGAAAGTTCTAGAGCTGGAGAAGAGGATCTCCACGCTCCACCAAATCCAGGACCATGAGCGCGATGTGGACACTAGCTTCTCCCGGACCTTTGCCACCACTGCTGGGACTCAGCTGGTGGATGTCATCTCATGCCAGCCCGGCGTAACTGCAGGGGCAAGGTCCACCTCCAGTTCTCCAAGCGGGTGTGGAGTGCCGGGGGCCTGCACGGTGTTCGCG